AAGAAAACTGCTACCCTCCTTCGCATATCTGCTCTTCACGAAACCCTAGAGAATTTATAGGATGTGCGGAATCGGGTAGGCCCACACGGTTTTCACAAACCACATCATTTCACGTGAGTAGGTTGGTCCCACCACACTCATGATCTCTTCATGGCAGTTCACGCGGTTTTCACAAACCCAATGGAATCCCACGAACAAATTTGTAGGCCCCACACCGAAAACAAAACAACTCCTCACGTGACGTGGGTCCCCATGTCCACTTCTCCCACACACACACGCCTCCCAACAATTCTCCACCTCGGCGAAGTTTTCCCAAAACTGAGCCGACACCAACCAAAACAAATGTCTCACTTGTTGTGTCCAGTACACCGTGAAACAATTCACGACAACAGACTCGATCCATAACAAGTCGAGAGCCCAAATGAGAATGCAAACACTCTCCAAATATCGGTATCAACTCACCAAATCGGTCTCACCCCCATCAAATAATCCAACCCGGCTGCATCGTAAAGACTGCCTACGTATCCTATTGCCCAAGGAATCAAGCCGAACGTAGTTCACCCAAATGGCCGCTAACGACCTCAATCCAATAGAAGAGTTCGCAACCCTTCTCCAATATCATCAACTCTGCGGCTGATAGTACCTCCAATGGCCTCAAACACCTCCACCTGAGGTGAACCACTGGCCATATCCAAACTATGTCTGCCAGCTGCACTCGAATCAAAACCCAACTCATCATCTGCACCCAAATCCAAATGATCCCTAAGCTGTGTCACCTTAGCTGGAATCCCAAACAATGCAGTATGATCTGGAGTAATCTTCACCCAATGTGGAGTAGCATCACTCTCCACCCGCTGCGATACCTCTAAGGTCTGTCCAAAACTCTCCACCTGCTGAGAGTCAATTGGCTTCCTCATCGAAGCCTCAACCGAAGTGACACTATCAGACCTATCTTCCAATGGAGTTTTACCCCCAATCACAGCAGTTGACAACTCTTTAATAGGATACCCAAATATGTCGAAGCCTCTGTCCAGAAACTCTTCTGCAGACCATTACTCGACCACAAACACCGTTCCTCCTCCAGCAAGGTACGGTTCTCCAAATTTTCCAACCTATCTAGTTGCCCCAAGATTTCCTTTCCAACGAAGTGTCTCGAAATGCCGTGAGCTCGGCTCCAATACAGAAACAGGTCCATCTTGTACCTCCCACCAGAATAGAGTACATTCACCTTTCTGTCTATTATACACTTCTTCAATCTGTTGGATACTACTAGGACTTTCTCCAAAGGGGATTTGGTTGCAACCCAAACACGCCTAGAACAGTCACCAACAAAGGAAACCAAACGCCTATTACCTCCCAATGATGCCCCCTTGGAAGGCCCCCAAACATCCACGTGAACTCCTCTAGAACGACCCTTAACTCGGTGAATAGAGGTGTCAAACTTCACCTCGGTCTTCTTGCTCACATCAACATGTTCACTGGACTTTAAACTGCAGGTCTTTGCACCCTCTTTCAATCTATGCGAGGAATCAATACTGGAATGGTCAAGCCCCAAATGCCGCAGTCTAGTCGAATCAACAGAAGTCGTCAGCTCTCCACCTGCCACTATACCTCCAGTCAAGTAATACAGGTTATTTCTCCTGACGCCCTTCATCAAAATACGAGAGTCTCTCGCAATCTCGAGAACCATGTCCTCAACACGAACCTTCAGACCCTCTCCAACCAAAGCTCCAATCGAGATCAAGTTCTTCCTCAAAGAAGGAACATATCTCACATCGTTTAACTCTCTAACAGTCCCGTCAAACATCTTTATGCGAATTCTTCCTATCCCAAGGATCTGGCATGCACGGTTATCAGCCATGTACACCACACCACTATCCACCAGCTTCTCAAAACTGGAGAACCATTCCCTTCTAGGGCACACATGATAGGTCGCACCACTATCCAACATCCATTCAGATTCTTCCGAATAGCTATCTGTAGGACTGATAGAAAGCGAATAAATAGAAGAGTCAGAATTATTACCATCCGATACGATATTTGCTTCTGATGATGGCTGCTTCCCTTTTCCTTTCTGCTTATTCTTCATCCATTCGTCGAGCTTTGTGCAGTCTTTCTTCCAATGACCAGTCTCCCTGCACCAAGCACACTGATCTTTTCCTACTCTAGACTGTGACTTCCAATTCTTTCGGTTTGGATTCTTCCCTCTTGCGACCAACGCCTCTGCTACCGACTCAGTCGAAGTCTCTTTATCCTTCTTCCGAAGCTGATAATTCACTAGTGCAGCAGTGACCTCACTATACGAAAGAGATGCCTTCCCATTAATCAGAGTAAGGACGAAGGTCTCATATTCCTCGTCGGGCAAGGAACTCAATAACAGCAACGCCTTGTCCTCATCTTCAATTATGACATCCACATTCGCCAAATCCGCAAGAAGCTTTGTGTAGTGGTTCATGTGATCTCTAATGGAGGTTCCCTTCTTCAACTGGAAACGATAAAGTCTCCTCTTCAAATGCAAGCGATTTTCCACACTCTTGGTCAAATACTTGCTTTCGAGAATCTCCCAAATCTTCTTCGCAGAAGTCTCATTCATCACATCATATTTTAGATCTTGAGTCAAACAAGACCTAATCACACCACACGCCGTTCGATTCATCTTTTTCCAAACCTTCTCTTCAATCTCATCTGGCTTGCCATCTAACTCCAATGTATCCTCCAAATTCTGCGCGTTCAGCGCATCCAAAACCTCGCATCTCCATAATCCAAAGTTGTTTGTGCCATTAAATTTCTCCACATCTATCTTCATAGAGTGGATATTCAAACTCTGAATGGTCTTCGCGCCAGAAGCACCACCCTCGACACCCGAAGCACCTTCTTTCCCCGACATCTTACGCACCAACGAACAAAGAATAGATCCAAAACTGAAAGATAGAGTCTTTACCAAAAGATCCCACCTTTATCACCAAACGAAGCCCTAGGCGAGCCTCCAAATTGATCTACTCCTCCAAATAGCCCAAGCGTAGCCCGAGATCTGATACCACTTGTTGTGCGCAGCGAAAATTTTCCTCTCGTCAGCTCTAGGACTGCGCGTCGAGGGATCCTAAAAACTATTACAATGGCCACAAACTCAAACAAACCAATTTTACGTAGTTCGGCAAACTGCCTACGTCCACGGGGCAAGGAGGGGGGAGATCTACTATTAGAGAGGAGAGAATATAACTAGGTTTACAACTCTCACAATTTAAACCCTCAAATAATCTCTCTCTTACACACAAATATCTCTCAGTTTTTCTCTCAAAAGAAACAGCCACCGGAATAACACGCCGCCCAAAAATTCACTTTTGCACACTGCCTTTTTTTTCCCAGCCTCTGCAAGCCGCCAAAAGAAAACTGCTACCCTCCTTCGCACATCTGCTCTTCACGAAACCCTAGAGAATTTATAGGATGTGCGGAATCGGGTAGGCCCACACGGTTTTCACAAACCACATCATTTCACGTGAGTAGGTTGGTCCCACCACACTCATGATCTCTTCATGGCAGTTCACGCGGTTTTCACAAACCCAATGGAATCCCACGAACAAATTTGTAGGCCCCACACCGAAAACAAAACAACTCCTCACGTGACGTGGGTCCCCATGTCCACTTCTCCCACACACACACGCCTCCCAACAAAATTGATCAAATTTGCTGAAACTGGGTCGATTTTGGTGATTAAATTGAAAACATATCGATTTTTACAATTAAGTTTCTAAATGAGTTGGTTTTGAAAGTTTGTAAAAAAAATATTGCCAAACTTCTCCTACGTGTTAGGGAGATCACATGCCCGAACTCAGCGTTATAACCAAGGTTGAAAAGGGGACCTTAATTTCACTTGTCGTGTGCTTTCAAAGTACACAAAGAGAGCCTTTTAACTTGTCACGTGCTTTCGAAGATTTGCCATGCATAATACCGTAGACGACGGTTCAGATCAATGTACTTTGTCTCCATCTTCCTTTGTCACAAGTCTTGCAATTTTTAATGTCAAACAAGATCTAGAACCGTTGAATAATTGAATAAATAACATAATGTTCTACATTGTTATTGGAATATTAAGGCTAAAATTGCACTTAAATGCCCTATAGTTTCACCAACTTGCACCTAAGTGGTTTTTATTTTAAAATCGTACAGATAAATGTCCTAAAGTAGCAGATAAATGCTCTAAAGTTTCAAAATGTTACACATTGATGTCATTTTGTTTACGCAATGTTGCATATAAATACCCTCGATCTGTAACTGACTTCACTTAAATACCTTAAAGTTTGTAAAAGTTACATTTTAGTGTTATGTGGTGTTTTTGGACATGTAGAGAAGCCAAATTCTTACTTAACTTTGGGGTATTTATTTACAATATGTATTTGCTCAGTTTTAAAATAGAGATCACTTGAGTCGGGGGATTTAAGTGCAATTAAACCGAGTATTAAGGGTATGCAGAAATTCGAATCTATGCTTTTCTCCCATCCGCTCATCCCCACCCTTCAGTCGCATCTCCCTTTCATTCATCCGTCCCTCTCACGCGCTCAACCTCCACTTTATACTTTAAACAAAAGTATAGCTTTTTCCAAATTTTATAGAGGACATCATCTTTACTTGTTCGTGTGGCGCATCAATCACCTGATCCACTTCGCATATCATTGGGAGATTAAGCCTTAATTGTAATTTGATCCGTATTATTTGGAAACAAACTTGTGAAATTTGACGAGTCTTACCATCCTTTCATAGGAAATCTCCTACGAGTTAAACTAAACCATCTTCAAACATCATTAAATTTTGTCTCATAAATCCATCACCCTTAGTAGGCCTATACAGCGTCCAGCTTTTATTCTATATGTACACTTGTCTGTTCTAAATTTGCTTTTTACACAAAGGTCAGTGATTTGACAAACACATCTAATCCAGATATTTTTCATTTAGAAAAGGATTTGGAACCGCCTAGCGAAAGCATTACCAGAGGCATTATCAAATGAAACAATATTTTTCATAATGACAAAATAATATCACTGCTGCAAGCGAAAATTTTTCAAATTGCAGTTACAGCTGCATTTTTAAATTTGATTAAGTTTAGTCATATTATACAGAAACGGCTAGTTATCAAAATCAGCAGGGTACTCAATACTCTTCTTAAGCACCGAAGCATGGGACAAATGATCATAAAATTATTCAAGACGAAAACCTTTATAGCTTGCAACCATTATATATATTGAAGCATAATTTATAGCTGTCAGACTCGCACCAAATTATGTAGCGATCCATAAACACAGACCTGCACACAAAAGCAAGCTTGTTCAACATACAAGCAGATTAAATACAAAAAAAAAGCGAGCAAACAAAAACAAGGTAATTGAATGAAAAATAAGCAATAAAATAAAAACATAAGCCTAGTTCCAGAAAGATAAGACTGTATAACTTAACAGCAGCTCGATGGTTAGAGCAGTACCAAAAGAAAATCCAAGTTTTTTTTAGTGGCCAAGGAGAATCCAGGAAGATGACTCAAAAATACTAACCGGAAAGACAAGAAATGCAAATGAAGCACATTATGTTCTCTCAGAACAACGAGAATGTTGAAGGTTTGAGAACGAATAACATATTTTAATAAGGGTAAAGAGAATTGCAAGTAACATAAGGGACAAAGAAGATAGATATCTTTTATAAACTTCAAGGAAGCTCAACGGATAAACTTCAAGGAAGCTCAACAGATTAATAAAAGTGCAGCTGAGTACCAATTTGATGCCTTGCTGATACAATACAATGGTTTCTGTATGTGTATCACGTTACTCACCATCCCTCAGAAAAATTCACTAGCCATGGTTGTTAGCATACCAAAATATCTTCCTCTGGACCTCAATAGACTAGTTCCAGGCTAACTAAGAACAGGGCATTTTAATTACCTTGTGAACACTCAACAGAACTGATTTTTGACATCTTAGACGGAAAGGAAAATCCAAATCAAAGCAGAATTCCCCTAAATCATCTTTGTATGAGGAAAACTCAGAACACCATAACAACGTAGTTTAGCTCATCCTAAGGAGGAAGATACCCTCTAATTAGCTGCATTGGTATTTAGTCGGAACTATAGCAGAACTTATTAAATGCATACTACATTATTACTACCATTATGGTTTCACCCCTTAATTTATGCTAATACATTGCTTATTTGCACTGCTCAGTTCTTAATTTATGCACTCAAACCATTTTTCTATGTAAAAAAAAGAATAGTTTCCCTCTGAAGTCTGAACATAGATTTGTTATTTCAAGTTCATGGATATACTAAAAGGTTCTCTTTCCAAATCTTGTTGAAATTTAGCAACAGACGAAATGTGCTAAAAAATTGTCAAAAAGTACACTCGAGCAATGACACTTGCATAAAATGTAGTATGATGATGATGTGATGCAGGATCAACAAGAGACTGAATCATTAACTCAGATTTGTTGATATGCATGTTTTAATGTTAGAGGAGAATGTTTCGAGAAGAAATTGAATTCTAAAAAGTTGTTTGACGTGAACGAAGGTTAGCGAAATATCGTACAAACTATTTTCTGGAGAAAAAGTAATCAATTGACAATTATATCAAACAAAGTTAAGTTTAAGTTCAAGTTTTTTATTCTAATAGATCGATATAACAAGAAACAATGAATTTAGGGCTTCATCAACGAATTTAGGGCTTCATTAGGAATTCAAATCGGTTCAACCTGTGTATTGTTGATATGCTAGCTTTTTGCTACGAAAGAATACAATAAAAATTATATGAAAACAAAAAAAGGAAGGTTTCATATCTTTTCACGTGTGACTTCACACTCTAGATTTCACTTCACATGGGTGCTGAATTTCATAATCAAACCACAAACTAATCACAGGTTAGTTGAACAGAGGAAAATGCTTCTCAAAGAGGAAGAAGCATTTTTAGTTTAATAATTCATCCTTTTCAAAAGAGTCATGGAAATGTGTGTGAGACAAAGAATAATAGGTCTCATATGACATACGTCGACAGATTACACAATGATGTGTCTGAAGCTCAACTAGTCGCATATTATGGTTTTTTTTCTTTATTACTTTATGCACAAATATAATAGAATCCCCCCCCAACCCCCCCCCCCCCCACCCCCCAATCACTAATATTGTTTTTATGTAACTAAAACATGCATTTTTTTTTTTGCTAATTGTACTAGGACCAATATACTAGAAATGTACTAGGACACATGTACTTGAAAGGAAAACATAACACTAAATATAACTTCAAATTACCTCTAAAGATAACATCAAATATTCTCTAAAATTGAAAACTATCTAACTAAAACTGAAAATCGATCTAACAAAATATTCAACTAAAATATCTAAACTAAGATCTCTATCCTGTTCAAAGTTTTAATTTGCAATATTCTCATTCAATTCTGAAGCTCATTATCAGAGCCAAAAAAAAATACAATTGGAAAAAGGCGGGTTTATCAGTACTTGATATCAACTCTAGTAAACAATGATAAACTTGTCTTTCTGCTCGAAATGTATAAACATTGTCTGTTCCTCATGCCAGGGCCTTTATTAGCACTAGCTCTGAATGAAGTGAATGAAAAAACTATTATACTTCCGAACATTCTTATGAAATCTTTTGCTCGAGTAAGAGTGGATGCCTCTTAAGAGTAAAGAGTAGGATGAACATGCATTGAACCGATTTGATGTAAGTCATGTAACTTTAAGTCTGAAGGATTATAAAATGTATTTCCTATAAAATAAACAAAGTAACAAGGGTTTAATACTGTAGACCTTGGTTTTCCATGTAATTTTGATATGGGGTACGTATCTTTATATTGATGTGGTGATTGCACAACACAAAGTAACCACTTGACTCATCATTTTATTGGACTTGGGAAGTTGTTCGAGGCATTGATACTAGAGTCAAGCCTATTGACCATGGATATATTTATATAAGGTCATTCTTCTCAAGTGAGATTGTTGTAGTAATCTTCAAAATAGTTCTTTCTTTTATGGTTTGTTGAGGTCTCTGCATTTGCTATTTTGGTAGGTAAAAGGTTTTCACATTTACAATTTAAAATCGAACACAACATTATAGATATTAAGAATATCGTCTAAAATGTGAGATATGCGATTGTATACTATTTATGTAGTATACTTTCATATTTAACACGTGGTTCACTACACTAGGTCTATCAATGATATATGTAGGTATGTATGTATATATATGAGAAAAATGGAGGAACTTTAGTATCAAACACAAATTTTGTGCTTGGTAGTAAGATCTCTCATTCCCATCCACTCTTCAACCCATATGAATGTAGTCCCCACTTGAATGAGTGGATGAGAATGTGTCACCTCACTACCAAGCACAAAAACTTGTGCTTGGTACCAAGTTCATATATATATATATATATATATATATATATAGAGAGAGAGAGAGAGAGAGAGAGATATAGAGAGAGAGAGCAATATGGAGGAACTTGGTACCACGCACAAGTTTTTGTGCTTGGTAGTGAAGTGGCACATTCTCATTCACTCATTCAAATTAGAGACCACATTCACATGGGTTAGAGAGTGGATAGGAATGAGTCACCTCACTACTAAGCACAAAAACTTGTGCTTAGTATCAAGTTCCTACATTTCTCTCTCTCTCTCTAACCCATGTGAATGTGATCCCCAATTTGAATGAGTGGATGGGAATGTAAGCACTTACTATCAAGGCACAAAACTTGTGCTTGATACCAAAGTTCTCTCGTCTCTATCTTCTGCTCTCTCCTCTAATATATATCATATATAGTATATATAAATATACATATATATATATATATATGAGATTAATGGGTGTCATATGAGAGGATTCTCTGCATATACAATGGATGTGCACAATCTCCACCAAGTGTATTTATGAGCATTCTATCTCCTACTTTATTCACTTTGGTGGAGATTGTGCCACATCATTGTATATGAGGTAATCCTCTCATATGACATATGATACCCATTAATCTATATATATAATATATATATATATATAATATATAATATATATATATATATATATATATATATATATCATATATAATGTGTTGTGTGTGTGTGTGTGTGGTGTGTGTGTGGTGAAGGAGGGAGAAGAGAGAGAACAAATGAGTTTTGTATGACATATAACAGGATTCTCTCATATATAGTGATGTTGTTAAATCTCAACCAAGTGTGGTGGACAGAGTTAAGTAATAAACAAAGAACCCCTATATTCACCTATTTGAGATTTAACCGCCACTGTAGAATCCCTCTTATGTCATATGATACCTATTATTCTTCTCTTAGGGGGGTTAATCAAATAGAACTCAAAACTAAAACTAGGATAATTTGTGGGATAAAATTTTAGTGTTAGTCAACTAGAACTAAAACTAGAATAAAATTTTACAGTGTTAGTCAATTAGAACTCTAACAAAACTAGAACTAGGATAATTATACAAAACTAACATTTTTTATTTTTCTATATAAAAATGAGAGTTCTAGTCTCTCAAACTATTCCAAGTTTTAGTTTGGAATTAGATGGTACAAAACTAGAACTCCTATTTGTTTTATTATTTTTCATTTTTTATATTTCTTTTTTCATTTACTTTTTTCCTACTATGGTCATCATCATCATCAGACCATGCCGACAAATTAGATCTCGTCTCCTCTTAGTCATATATGATATTTTCTTTTTCACGGAATATTATAATTATATAATTAATTAAAAGTAAAGATTGTATCAATCCATAATTTATTAAATAATAAAATTGAGAGATAAGGGAAAGATATCTCGGGGAGCAGAAAAGGAAGAACAATGTAAAATTTTTTAGACTTGTACTATAATAATAATTAAAAAATAAAAAAGCTACAACATATATTATAATAATTATTATCAATAGCTTATAATCTAACTAAAAGTTATTAATAATAAATAATATTTTCGTAAACAATTATCAATCAATAATAAGTTTAAAATACTTATATTCTCAAAATACATAACTAAATACTTCATGATTATAAATACTTATCTCACGTTATTTTATCAAAATATCCTGCTTCACAAAATTGTTCCTATTTATCCTATTGAAATATCCCATTAGTAAAAAATTGTTCCATTTTAACAATTATCTAACTTCGCATGAAAATATTCCAGTTGACTAACACCCCTCAGACACAAATTTCTTGGGCTTTTTCCTTGATAAGGAATTATTAAACTAAAAATGTGACTTCTTTAAGAAGCATCTTCCTCGTTCAACTAACTTGTGATTAGTTACTGGTTTGATTGTGAAATCCATCATCCATGTGAAGGCAAATCTAAGGTATAAATACTCTCAGGAAAAGGTGTGAAACCTTCCTATCTTCTTATTTTTAATAAATTTTATGTTGTCCTTTTATAGCAAAAAGTTTGCCTATCAACAATAATAAGTTGAGCTGATTTGAAATCCTTTATGAAAGCCCTAAATCCAGCACTCCAACACAATGATGAATCGCTAAATTTGAGTTATGATTGTTGTATACTATTTATGTACTATACTTCTATATAATACAACACTTTCAATCCACCGCACTAGGTCTACAAATAATACGCACACAGATAGTTGGATTGTAAAACCTATTGGCATGCGTTTGAGCTGAAAAAACATTTTTATGAATCAGAAGAGGGAAGCAAATGAATAAATCAAATATTGAGGCATTCACATTTGTATTCGTTTAAAATCTTCGCATTTGAACTCGAACTCAAATTCAGATCTTCTTCTTTCAAATGTGAATATCTTTTAATAATCATTGAAAACCGTCAAACATGAAAAATATGATGATCGAACTTAATACTCAATGTACGGTTATAACATTAGTTGATTAAGAAGATTTTATTTCACTAAAGAGATACTTTCATTTGATTAAAAAATTTTATTTGTTAATGACATTTTAATTCTTATTCGAAACTATTCCTCTATATAATGAAATATAACTATGTAATTTGAATATTTTGGTTTCAAAATTTATTTGGAAATATTATGTCTCTAAAAATATTAAGATAATATCATGTGCATCATGTGTATAATAACAAAAACTATAAACGTGTAAATCTTAAACAACCATTCGATAAACAAATATGTGAAGGTTCATATTTGTTTCTTAAATGCCCTTTCCAATCAAATACATATAAATATTGAACTAATTGATAATTATTCGATCACCATTCACGCCTAGGACTCAAGGACTCCTACAAATCAAGTAGATATATCTAAAGACATTAAATCAAACAACTAAACAATAAAATTCTAGAAATAAACTCTATTTTGACTTGTTGATCCCGATCAATTTACTCGCTGTAAAACCTCACCATACTAAATTTAGTTGATAATCTTACAAAAGATTTTTCAACATTCTCAAATGACCAATATTGCACGATCCTGATTAACCTTATAAGTTGTATAATCTCAACAACATACACTGATGAGTGACATGCATGATATTTTCAGTAAATTTGAAGGGTTATTTGCATATGTACCTCTTAAATCAGGGGTATCTGCAACCCAAATCATAGTATTTGCAAAATTGCCCCTCAAATCATCAACTTTGTGAAAAAATATCCTTAAAATCAGCAAATCATCAACTTGATGCTAAATATTTAACTATTTTGTTTGATAATTTTTTGTTTGATAATTTTTACATTGTGATTACAAATTACCTTATCAAAGTTGATGATTAACTGCTTTAAGCGTATTTTTTTCCAATCTTGAAGATTTGAGGGATAGTTTTGCAAATACTGATATTTGGAGGATATTTTTGCAAATACCCATGATTTAAGGGGTATATATATGCAAATAACCCAAATTTAAATTGCATCGCAATTTGCGACACAACAATTGTACTTTCTTCAAGCTTGTCTTCTAGGAGGGAACAACTACAAAGGAGCATATTCTTTTGGTGACAACTCGATAAATAGAAAGATCATATCCAAATATGGAAATGACTATGATGACGGCTAATTCCGATAAGGGTGAAATTAGTGACATTACGACTTTGAAGGACGTAGAATGATCTCATCAAGTAGCTATTTCAACTAATTTCAACTATATGGACAGGCAGATATTAATTTCTTTGGGTGAGGACAGCATCTGCTTCTTTGTCACATAGAGATGTTATTGGAGATATTGATTCATCCGGTGATAAAACAGTTTCTATTATGGACTCCCCTGTCTCCAGGAGAGAGAAAGACTGTATCTATTTTAATAATTTCAGATTTACTGATAAAGAATATAGGAGCTTAGACAACAAAAGATGTTAAGGTAGATGTGTTTGTGACGGAGCCTTTGGCACAAATGACAAAGGTAGTGGATATGATGATCATGGTAGCGGTGATAATGAATTAACAGAGAGGCAGCAGAATGGACATATGTGCTAAACAAATCATCATGCATAACCATGTTTGACAATGGTAGCAATTATTCTTTCACCAATAAAGAGCATCTCCAACTAACCTATATTTGTCATGAAAGCATTTCTTTTCATTCAACCAAAGAAAATAAGAAGGAAAAAGAGTCTTCAAGCTGAATCCCAATCCTCATCCCTGCAATAATTATTCTCGAAACACTATTTACCAGAATTCGCTAACTATAAAAATATATTTTATGTAAAAATAAGCTGTAGAGTTAAATCGTGCAGGCTAGTTAGACATAAAGTCCATCAGCCTAGCAGTACTCAAGGACATATGTTCTTAGTATTGACCATGACAAACCCAACTGGGGACAAGAAACGAAGTTTAGGTTGGCAAACTAATCATCCTTGCCCATAAAGCGATGGTTTGGGTCAAGGTCGGGCCATATAAATCAGACCCAGATCCTACCCAGTCTAATATGAGTGTATTTAACTTTTTAATATATACGCATTTGTTAGAGAGAGTGGTCTGCGTATTGAAGAGGTCATGATCCAGTTTTATGTCTCAGGATAAAATAAGTCCACCAGCCAAACAGCACTAAAGGACTCATTTTCTTAGTATCATCCATGAGTCCATGACAAACCAAACTACGGACTAATAAGCCAAGTTTACGTTGGTAAGAGAAGAACAAAATTCCTGTAGCTGACCACAAAAATTTGGGATAAAAGCTTTGTTGTTGTAGCTGTAGGCCAGACAATCAAAGTGTAAGATTTATAAAGTAAGAATACTATAAACAATTTTAGTCACTTCCAATCTCACATAACTTGAGCTAATCTAAGCCAATTTTCGTTACTCATACTAGTATATACACAACCTGCTTACAATTTTCTAGAGAAACTTTCTCTCATCAGTTCAGAAATTAACAATTTTATATTATCAACAGCATTGAAACAAAAATTTAAACTTCTTGAAGTATTGCCATACCTTGAGTTTTGAGAAGAAGCTTTCATAAGAAGCCAAAGAGAGGATACCGAAGTAGAGCCACACGCTCACGCCAATCACGTATTACTTAGGGTCAACAAGATAAGATGCCCAAACATCATTTGCAGGTGGTGCTGGCTGAACCCAGTGACCAGGTATCCGGCTGCATGCAATTTCCAACCATAAGAAGCTAAGAAACAGATATAGAAGAGATTTGCATAAGATTCATGAGAATGAAGGCTAGTGAAAAGATATAAAAGTGCGATTTATAAAGTAGTGCACATGTGCTTCAAAGATCATGTGGGTCGTACCTAGCAAATCATATCACATTCATCTCATATAATCTATTTAAATCTATGGGAATCTGGGACTGGAAGTTGTCTCCTTGGATGCATTCATGTAAACTACACAACCAGAAAAGGTAAGCTTGCAGCTTATCGACTGGCCAGCTGGTTCTTGAGCTCCTGTGGTATGAGCCCCTCTTACAATGTTGTTGTTTAAGAATCTGACAGGTGGATATTAGACAACCATTGGAAAAAGTTGGTTCATTAATTTGCAAAGCTTCACCTTTATGTTACACTCCATACCAAATCTCCACTATGATTAGACAAAGGCTTGGTCAATGAGGAGGAGGAAGATTATAATGTAATATTAAGTCATCAGAAGGTATCACCCAATCCCTGTTTACCTTGCAGATGACTAGATAACTTTCAAACTGGGTATCACAGCTATAAATTTTCCAGCATATTAACCTAATTAAATGTCTGAATTTTCAGCATTAGAGTCCTCGTCAATGCCACCCATGTGTTAAAATGGGGAAAAAGATAAGCAGAAAGCTTAAAGTATCCACTTCAGAGGCCGCATTGGCGCCAAGGCAGCTGCTCAAGAAAGCTTAAAGCCCTATCAGCCGCCTGATGGTGCTAGCTTTTGTTGGTTGTTAGAGAATCATTCAATCTTAGTTCTTTACCTAATTTACATGTTTCCTTCATTTTCTAAACAAGTAGAATCATAAGGTCTACGGAGACTATTCATGAGCAGGGACTATTGACGAGCAACATAGTGCAAACTAGCGCAAGTTACCATAATTTTACATGAAAAAGATTATCATGCTAACTTTTTAGAAAAAAACATAGGAAAAAACACATTGGAAGCACTTGGCTTGGAGTTGAAAATGGAAATTGACAGGGGAGCAGCATGGAAGACTTAGAACAAAGTGGATGATCAGATTTACCATATAAGTCCAATTTCACTCTTTATAACTATGACTGAAAGTATGGCATATGGCTAGGAGATAATGGGAGTGAGTTTAAAACGAAAATGTTGTAAGAGTGAACTTTTTATTACTTCCTGCATATTATTTTGGAACATAAACTCCTTAAAAGTAGGGAAACGTAATCAGGCCTAAGCAGTAAGCAGAGTAGCCAAACAAGTTGAAACCATGATGAACCTTTTAAATTCCCCAGAGACCAATTCTTAAGAAACTAATTTCACAACAGTTAAAAAAGTAAGTGACTATGCTGAAAGTGACTTGGGCTCCATAACCACCTACATTGAACACGCCTTAAGGACTTGGGCTCCATAACCACCTACATTGAACACGCCTTAAGGACATTTACAGGAAGTAAAGAGAAAAAGAAACAAGACTATTTCATAAAATACTGTAAGATGTCTGGATAACAAAATGAATTAACAAAATGTAATTATAATGGCTAAGCAGATGGCACGTTTAGAAAGAAAGGCCATAAAAGAAACTTATCCCAGGCTGTGTTTTGAATAAAAAAATGAATTAACAAGAATTTTGTTTTCCGAAAGTACAAATGAAAATTACATAGGTCAAGTAAAAGGTATTCATGTTTTCTAGATATACATGCACACCTTCCTCCTGGTCTGATGTAAGCATCCCACATTCTTCTGACCTGCAGACAAAGAATTCAGAATCAGGAAAGAATACACATGAAACTTACAGAACTCTTTGAAATCACACAATAATTTCAAGAAAGGTTTCTGAGGTGAAGAACATGGAAAACTAGTTCTGGTTACCTTAGCCATTATTACTTACAGTCCTACCAGTGATGACACCTAAATAAACAAGGAAAATACAAAATTTTCCCAAAAGCACGAAAAAGAATAAATAATAGAGTTGACAATATCATTTGCATAACCTGAAGTAAACTTACACAAGCATCTGCTATATCGTGCATTTGACTAAGAAAAAACTGCTAGAGAACATGAAATAACAAAGCAGATAGGAAACATTTGAAAAGAACAATATTATTTGTAAAAAATCGTTATAGATGTAAGAAGCCATTCTAATTATATTCAATTAAATCAAATTGATTCATAGTTTGAAAAGAATTTGCATTTTTGCATGAAAATGAAACTTTCGTTAATCAGCAACAAGATCTTCAAAGATTACAACAAAAGCTCAAAAAGATCAGTTATGTATGAAAATGAAAACTTTTGTTCACCAGCAACAAGACCTTCAAAGATAACAAAATCTCAGAAGAATTTTAACAGATGATTTTATATACTTCAAATTGTTCAAAAATATCCACCATAACATGATCACAATCCAGGAACCTCTGATAGACATTCATTCCACTCTCTTACACATTCAGAATCAGGTTCAAGGAAGCCTAAAGAAAATGGTTCAGAAAGTCACTTTTCATGCATTAATTGTTCCTAAAAGAGATTATTTTTTTAAAGTTTAATTCAGTTCAGATCACTGAACAGTGTGGATACCCTACTTTTAACCTCTTTGGTGCTCATCTGCTGATTTTTTTTTTAATAATTGCCACTCATGTACTATTCATTGCTTATTTTCTGATTTACTTTTATTTCTATTTTTCTTCTCCTTTATTTATTTTTTGACTTAAAATCTGATCTTTGTTAATAAAAGTAGGATGGTCATTTTGCCTTAAGAGAACTTCATCATCAATTGATCTTTGTTATCTTCTTTTGCATGATCCGACCTCTACATAACAATCTTAGCAAAATGACCATACTACTATTTCAATCTTGAATGTCCTTCCAAGTCGATTTCAACAAATAGTTTGAAGACCAAGTACCAAACTATTTGATAATTATCAGGAACCAAATAGTTTGAAATAGTTGTATAGGAGGTGACCAAAAACCTCCATGTTATGACATCTAAAAGTTACCATCTTCCACCCACGAGTCAGGGTTAGATAATTTCTCAGTTATCAGTTTCACAACTTTCTATGTTTAGTTTGCAGGACTCTAATTTAAGGAGACTAGTTAATGATGCACAGTCAGAATTTAGGTTTCTGCATACATTTATTTGCTAGTAAAGCCTTCCCAACCCTTTTTGTACATTACAAATTTACCCTGACCAACTTCCTACCCCACCCAAGGAAAAAAAGAACACACAGATATACCATCACACTCAAAAAAGAAAGAGGGAGAAGAAAAAAAGAAAGACATAACATCATCCACATTTACAAAGGAAAAGAACCTGCAAAGTTGTGATGTTAAATTCCACAACAGTAATCTAGCACAAAAGATAAATGGAACTGTAAGTTCTGAGACGAAAATGATAAACGAATACCATATGAGGATGACAGAACATAGATAAAGATAAATAGACTGCAATAAAAAAGAGAAAAAAACATGCAACAATAAAGGTCAGAGATCAAAATAGACTGCAACAACAGGAGATCAAATTGCAAGGTTCTGGTAATGAAAAAGCTGAAGATGTGACCAAGAAACCATACTTATAACTACCGATATTAATAAGAAGGAAAATCTATGACCATGCTCGGATTCACTTAACTTATTGACAACCTCTAAGACATGAAATCTAATGTTGATCACAAAGCCATCGAAAGTCAAAATACTAGTCTATTGGTCACTAAAGTGATTAGGTAGTGTAAGTTATCATCAATGATGTAGGAGTTTTCCATGTATGACACCAGGAAGAACCATCACGAGAGAAATTACCTCGATTAGAGTTCCCATATCATTGCTGCTTCCATGATAATAATGATAAAACTCATATGGCAGATTGACAATAGAGTCATAACCGCTTGCAGATACTTGTCCTTCGTTTTTCTGTGGGTCAGCCTTCAGGTTCATGTCTATGCTTGAGCTTCTTTCATTTTCAATCTCATTGAACAGGTCTTTATCTGATGATTCCTCGCCTTTGTTGTCACTTAGTCGACAGCTCGTATCAAGAATACTTTTCTGAGATAACTCAGCTGTGGCAATAGCATCCTTAGCAGCAGCCGTGTCAGCCGCAGATTTGGAAATGTTATGACAATGGAATTAGAAAGTGGTATGATTTGATAATTCTAAAAGGATTTGAGTACGAACCATATTATGATCAAACTTTAATGCCAAATAAATTATCAACTTGATTTTTCTTTCAATTTCTTTTATATTTTGACTTGGTCTTGATAATTTCAATTATTACAATTTCAGATGGGTACATTTCATTATTATAGAAGGTTTAGAAGCTTAAACCACTATGTGATGAAGCCCAAATGCCAAACAATTAATATGAATCCTTTTCTATTATTAAGTTAAGACAGCATATTGTATCTGCCTCTAGCGAATCAGAGGGAATGAGCTCTTCACTTCCGATTATAAATCAGAATTTACAAGATATCAGAGCCTGCACTTACTTCTTGTCTCAGTTGACACACTACCTTTGGTAGAATGAGCTCTTCAACAAGTACAAGAGCTCTCCGCAAATGGAACATGTTAACTTGTAAGTTCACTTGTGCAAAAGGTGTGAAGTAGGAAAAAGCAGCAAACTGAGGTGAAGATGAGGAGAATAACAAGCAAGACAGAAGGGAGCATGTCACTCATAAGCAAAATGTTACACTCTAGATGGCGAGATATAACTTGAAAGTTGAAACCCCACTCATACCAAAGGTGTTGATGCAGGACAAGATGCTAAGAGATCACTAATGCAATACGAGTTCAAGCAAGGACATGGATGAAATCAAATATGGGGTCAAACTGAATGTATGCAACAAAATATGAATGCAAATCCTAATGATCAATCACTAAATACAGATGCAACCTAGAAGATGTGATGAGTACCCATGCAACAAGATCCAAGTTATAACAATAATCAAAATAATTAACTTTAGGTCAATAGAGATGCAAGAGTATCAGTTGTAGTCAGAGCTTGGTTAGGATTCACCTGAAAGAGTGAACAACGCATACCCAAAGCATTTCAGATCTGAATAGAGACTAAGATTGACGGTTCATTGCAATGCAAAGAATTGGGAATAAACTACAGGATTGAGATAAAGCTATAATATCCAACAGTTGAAGTTGATTCTACCAAGTACCTGTAAACAATCACACGGGTATCCAAAATACACTCAAATATCGGTAATTATAAATCAGAAAGTTCCTGTTCGGATCGAGATGGAGTGTTCGCTGCTGTATATACGAACTGAATGAGCTGTCAGAATGTCTGAGGGTCGAGGTAGAAGTCAGAGGAGGAGGAGGTCAAGGTTGAGGCTCTGATCATCTGATGAGGGTCGAAGATGAGGAAATGCTGGCAGCAAAGACAGATATGCAGTCATGATGGAGGGATCACAAGAGGGGAGGCAGAACTGATCGCGTCATGGTCAGAGGTAGAACTGTAAGTAGAGCAGAGAGAGGGAGGTGGCAGAGGCAAATTCGAGTTAAGGTTAACTTTGGACTTCAGATCAAGGGCTGACATTAAAAGTAGGTTTATATGGATGGGTAGGATTGGGAACTTGCATGCCAAATAAGTTTTGCAGCACACATGCAATAAAATAGCAACTCACATGCCAGTAGGGTTCTCTCAAGAAACGTTTCATAAAATCACAAATCATCAGCTGTCATTTCTCTGAGAATACAATCCTACTTAAAAGAAAACCAAACAGACAACTAATTAGGAAATAGAATAAAATCCTAAACAACAAAGGATCATAATATCAAACCTAAGGATCACATGGAATCAAAACAAATCCAAAAATATCTTTCCACATTTTATTCTTTCAATAAAATCTTCTCTGCTTCCAATTAGGTGTGAAGTAGGAAAAAGCAGCAACTCGGGATGAAGATGAGGAGAATGACGAGGAAGACAGAAGGGAACACGTGACTTACAAGCAAAATATTACACGCTAGACGGAGAAGAGAGAGCAAAATCATAAGAAGAGTGCTTTAGTACTACAAGATCCAAAGAGCACAAAAAAAGTCTCAACATCTTATATATGCAATAAGTCATTTACTACAGAAGAAAGGTATATATCAGCCACCATCAAGATGTAGACAACTACCAATAAGACCAGCAATAATATATGCAAAGAGACATGGAAGCACATTATTCTGAAATAATGCTGTGTATAGTTCAAGATGCTGAACTCTTTGAAAAGAAGGGAAGAAAAGAAAGTATTTATCAAAT